AGCGGGGCATAAGTCTATAGAGAAAGAAGCGGACGTCTCTTTCCCCACCTCACAAATGCTCACACACTGGGCTGCTCCAAACAGTCTCATGGCTCTGCCGGTCAGAGGTCTGAGTCCGCTCAGCTGGAGTCTACGGCTCAGGGGTCACCCGGCTGAGGTCAAGGTGTCTGGCGGGCAGGACACTGCTCTAAGCTCACTCCGCTGCTGGCAGGGTCCAGCTCCTCGGCCTGGAGGGCTGTGCTCTTTCCCTCGCTGGCTGTGGGCTGAGAGCCCCTCTTGGCTCCTTAAGGGCATGGCTTAGCTCAGGTCGCTGGACCCAAAGACCACAGACGGGGCGGCTTCAACACCCAGCATGTATTTCTCGCACTTCCAAAGGCTGGACGTCCACGTTCAGAGTGCCAGTGTGGTGGGGTTCCGGTGAGAGCCCCCCTCCAGTTCTGCAGACAGATGCCTCTTGCTGTGCCCTCTCTGCACATAAGGGCGCAGATCCCGTCATGAGGCCTCCACCTTCATGACCTAACCACCTCCCAGAGGTGCGCACCTCCAAACACCATTGCACTGGGGATTAAGGTTTCGACGTGTGAATGGGGGGGAACATTCTGCCCCTAGCAGGGTGCCTACCTCCCTCCAGGCGGCCCCTCCATTTTCATGCCCGCTACTATGTGTCAAACGCTCCTTACGCTTTGAATGCATCTGACTTTCTCTTCTGCTACCAGCCAGAGAAAGCTCTCTGCTTTTTTTAAAAAAAGATTTCATTTATTTGAGAGAGAGAGAGGATCTCCAGCAGACTCCTGCCTGAGCATAGAGCCCAACGTGGGGCTTGATCCCAGGACCCCGAGATCATGACCTGAGCAGAAACCAGAAGTCTGGCACTGGGCATGGAGCCTACTTTAAAAAAAGAGAGAGAGGGTGCCTGGGTGCTCAGTTGGTTAAGCGTCTGCCTTTGGCTCAGGTCATGATGTCAGAGTCCTGGGATCGAGCCCCGCATCGGGCTCCCTGCTCATCAGGAAGCCTGCTTCTCCCTCTCCCACTCCCCCTGCTTCTGTTCCCTCTCTCGCTGTGTCTCTGTCAAATAAATAAATCTTTAAAAAAAAAAAAAGAAAGAAAGAAATTATAAAAAAGAGAGAGGGAACTATATATACTCTTTAGCCTAGTGTATCCACTTGTAGACGTTTATCCAAAAGACACATTCATACAGGTATAAAGTGGCCCCTATTATACTAGGCTGTTTATTGCAGCATTATTTGTAACAGTAAACACTTGGGACCAATGTGAACTTCATTCAGAGGGATCTGGTTACATAAATTATGCTGCATCATACAGAGGAATTTTATGTAACAGTAAAGTAAAACAAAAGCATGAGGCAGCACTGCATAGAAGATTCTCCAAGACATATTGCGGTTTTGTTTGGTTGGTTGGTTTGGGTTTTTTTTAAAAAAAGATTTTTTTAAAGTAATCTCAACACCCAACATGGGGCTCGAACTCACAACCTCAAGATCAAGAGTCGCGTGTTCTTCCGACTGAGCCAGCCAGGCTCCCCTTCAAGACATATTGTTAAATGAAAAAAAAAAAAAAAGACACAGTACGTATAGTATGCTAATCATTCAGTTTAACAAAGAAAGGATGGGGCGCTGGGGTGGCTCATTTGGTTACAGGTCTGCCTTCAACTCAGGTCATGATCTCAGGGTCCTGGGATCGAGTCCCGCATGGAGCTCCCTGCTCAGCAGAGAGCCTGCTTCTCCCTCTGCCTCTGCTCCTCCCCCTGCTTGTGCACAAATAAATAAATAAAATCTAAAAAAATATAATATAAAAGAAAGAACAAAATGCATGTGCTTGTGTTTGCCAACATTACCTCTGAAAGATACCTTAGAACGACAGTGTTTCCCCAAACCTAAGATCCTCTGCTGCTGAAGCTTTCTTCACCTGACCAGGACGGAAGTGTATCCCCCACAAATTCATATGCTGACATCCTAACAGCCAGCACCTCAGAATGTGACTGGACTCAGAGATGGGGACTTTAGAGAGGTGAAGAAGGGAAAATGGGGTCATGGGCCTGAGTTCTCATCCGATTGGACCAGTGCCCTTCTAAGAAGAGAAAATTTGGACACACGGACCCCAGGGGTGCCCGTGCACAGAGGATCGACTGTGTGAGGACAGCGAGAGCATAGCCACCTGCAAGCCAAGGGGAGAGAGGCCTCGGAAGAAACCACATTTGCTGGAACCTTCCCACCTCCAGAACTGGGAGAAAATCCAGTTCTGTGGCTTAAGCCTCCCAGTCTGTGATCTTTGTTATGGTCACCCGAGCAGACTAAGACACCAAGCGTCATCCGAAGGTTGTACAAATTTGTTTCAGCTGTCTCCTGGCTGACGATAAATTCTGATTTCAAGGAGGCTATGGTGTCAGAGAAAATAAGAAAACTCTTTTGTATCAATTAAACCGATAGCACTGGCTCAGGGGCGGGGCTGGAGGGGCCAAGGAGACTGGGGGCCAAGACTGGCCGAGACAACATTGTAACAACAAATTACAATTACAATTTCAGAAAGAGGTATCGATCAGATCAGATTGTAAGATTTGCACGCTGGGGAGAGATGTCTCTGCAGAGCACAGACCATCTCGGGGGAGGGGAAAGGGACAGATGAGGAGTGAGAGAAGGAGCCAGGCTGGGCACCCTGGACTCTTGTACTATGGGTGTTAATTGTAAAAAGATTTAAGAAACATTGTTAACTTAATTTTCTTAAAGTAAAACAGGGTAAAAATTAGTAGCACTGTGAAAGACTCCTGCTATTTATTAAGCACCTACTGTATACCAGGGGGCTCTGCCAGGCACTCTGCTGACCTCTTGATTAATACCGAGGAGTTCCTTGCAAAAAAAAAGTCCATTGTTCCCATTTTATAGGAGGAGACTCACGTTGAAGAGGGTAGAAAACTCACCCGATTACACACAGCTCCTGAGTGGTACAGCCCAGGGCTCACAGCTGCCAGGAAGGGGCTGGTGAACTGAAACATGGGTCCCTATTCCTGCTCAGGGAGCCCCAGGGAGGACGGGCAGGGCCCAACCAGGAGCTTGTCTGGAGACCCCAAGGGCCACATGGGCCCCCAGGTCTGGGGTCCGGGAGGCTGATGGGTGCAGGGTTGGGACGGCCCAGGGCACCTGGGGCTGGGCCTCAGGGCGTCCCTGGAACACCCACCGCAGTGCCTGCCCTGAACGGGAAGGGGACGGGAGCCCCCCCCCCCTGAGCCCCCCAGATGCTGGGCTCTGATGCAGACGTGGAGCCGCTCCTGGGTTCCAACCTCACCGACCTCAGGGTCCCCTCTGGCTCTGAGCCCAGGCCGGGTCCAGCAAGTGGCCCACCCGTGGAAGCTGAGGATGACCTCTGACCCCACGTTTTCTCGTGGCCCTCACCTGGCAGCCTGGACTCTGCCTGGAGTCACATCCTGGCCTGAAGGGCAAGGGGTGATGGTGGGCACATGGCCCTACTCACCTGCCCTCCTGCCTCAGCCCCCAGGACTACCTGGGCCCCGGGTTTGCGGCCCACGCCCCACGCCGGCCCACTGACGTCCACGGTGCTCTCAGCTCTGGGCCCAGGGCCAGGTCCAAACTGGCGCTCGGGCAGTGGTACTGATCCCCCACTCCCTCACGACACAAGATCTGGCTCCATCTCCTGCCAAGGGACCCTGTGGAGATCTGGGCCAGACCCAGAGCAGGTGCAAGTCGAGGATGAGGACGAGGGGCTCCTTCCTCTGCATGACAAAGGGTGGGGACTGCCCTCCAGCCCCGGACAGTCCATCAGCCCACTGTCACAAACCTCCCAATCCACACTGGCTTTCTTGGGCCTCTGGCCAGGGCTGCCGGAGTTAGCAACTCAAAATATAGGACTCCCAGTGAAATCTGGACTTCAGATAAATAGCAAATGATTAGTCTAAGTATGTCCCCAACTGTCTCTTGTATTTTATCTGGCAGCATTACCCCTGGCCACTGCCCAGGTGTTTCATTTTCCCAGTAAAACTCTTCAAGCACCTGCAAGCCCGCCACCCCTTGCAGGAATCCTTGGGAAACGGGGGATCGATCCCACCCCCGCCCAGCCCCATCACTGGACTGAGTCCCCCCCTGGCAGCTTCTGGGGTCAGGCAGGACTCTGGCTGGGAAGAGCTGGAGGGTGCGGAAGGATTTGGGCTGGCCCCCGGAAGGCCTGATCTTCCTGCTCTTTTCAGAAGCTGGGCTCTCCTGGCCTCGCCCAACTACCTAGCAGGCAGTCGCCATCAGCGACTGTGGGAGCGTCAGGAAGGGGTCACCTCTCTGAGCCTCGGTTGTCTTGGCTCAGAAGTTGGAGGGAGCGATACACCGGCTGGTTCTTCCACTTCTAATCTCTGAATCCATGAACAGCCAGAGAGAGGGAGAGATGGGTCCTTATTGGACACACCCCCACTGGTGCTAAATTATCACAGGTTCCCTGGCCTAGGCAGGTGCCCTGAGAACAGTGGTTTCCGACTGTGGTCAGCCCAGGATCTCAGCAGCCCCCAGAGCCCTCAGGGCACCAGGCCAGATGCTCATCGCTGCCCACAGGATGGGTCCTGAATCCAGGAGCCCTGGTGGTGGGGGGACAGTTTCTTGCAGCCGGCAACCAGACCTCAGCTCCACACACCAGGGAGTCCAGTTGGCTCTGTGCCTGGGCAGACCGGGAATCCAGCACAGATGAGATGGGAATGAGATCCCGGCCTCTCCTCCACAACTCAGACCTTTAAAGTCCGTTGGTCAGGCCCCCCAAAGCAAGGCAGAAGCTCATGGGCACTGGACAGAGAGCCAGCTGTCCACAAGCCAGACAGGCCTCTGTGCCCGTTCTAGACAGCCCCCTCCTCCAGGCTCCTGGACCCGCCTGGCCGCTGAGCTCCCAGGAGTTCCGAGGGGTGTGGCCTGGCTCCCCCCACCCCCAGGCCCGGCCCAGGGCTGGCTATAAAGCCGGCCCAGCCTGACCCTCAGCACAGCCAGCCAGGACCCTCCCGGAGCCGCCCCCGGGGACACGTCTGTCGCTTCCGCGGCTCGGGCTCGTGCGCGGCCCCATGCGGCCACTGTGGCTGTGCTGGGCTCTTTGGGCGCTGCCCTTCCCCGGCCCCGGGGCCGCCTTGAGCGGGGAGCAGATCCGGGGCAGCCTGCTGCGGCAGCTGCACCTCAGCCAGGTGCCCGTCCTAGACGGGGGCGACGCTGACGGGCTGGTCACCCCTGCCCACGTGACAGCCCAGTACGTGGCCCTGTTGCAGCGCAGCCACGGCACCCGCTCTCGAGGGAAGAGGTTCAGCCAGAAATTCCGAGGTGAGGCCTCCCTGCGGCTACGCCCCGCTCCTTGTCGGGGTGCCAACCGGGAGCTCAGGGGTTAGGGACATGGGGCGTGTGGGGAGGGTGTGGAACACGTCCCACCGTTGGCCTCCGGACTCGGTAGCCCCGCTAAAGCTGCTCACGGGCCCCGGACTCCTCTTGGGGACATCTCCCCGGGCATGGGAGGGAGATGGGAGGAATTCAAGGCTCTTGCTCTGCTTCTTAGGACACTCAGCCGGCCACCAGAGGTCTCCATGGCAGGGCTCTCTGCCCCCCCTCCATTGCCCACCTCCCCCCCCCCCCTTTTGCAGTGCCCTTTGCCCAAAGAAGGCTACAGGTCTGGGGGCCTGGCTGGCTCAGCAGGTGGAGGGTGTGACTCTTGATCTTGGGTTTGTGAGTTGGAGCCCCCGCTGGGCCTACGTAGAGATTACTTAGAAGTAAAATGTTCAAACAAACAGAAAAGAAGGCTGCATGTCTGTGCGCTTGAGGGGCAGCCCCAGCCCCCACATTCTCCCTGGCATCTCCCTGGGGACTGCTGGGGAAATGCTGTTCACTGGCCGGGGGCCCAGCCCCCTCGCAGCCGCCCTGGTGCTGCACAGGCCTCCTGACCCTGCTCCTGTCCCCAGAGGTGGTGGGCAGGTGGCTGGCGTCGGAGGCCTCCACGCACCTGCTGGTGTTCAGCATGGAGCGGCGGCTGCCCCCCAACAGCGAGCTGGTGCGGGCCGTGCTGCGCCTCTTCCAGGAGCCGGTGCCCAGGGCCGCGCTCCGCAGGCTCGAGCGGCTGTCCCCGCACAGCGCCCGCGCCCGCGTCACCGTCGAGTGGCTGCACGTCCGCGAGGACAGCTCCAACCGCACCTCCCTGGTGGACTCCAGGTGGGGGCTGCAAGCGGGGAGGGGGCGGGGGAGGAGGGATGGGGAGGG